GGGGGGGGGGCGTAGGGGCGTACTGGTAATCGCCGGAAGAAAGGGAAGGGCCCGGATGAAAGGAAGAGCAGACAGACTTCCTGCTCGGGCTGTACGCGGCACTGCCCCGGAAATAAGACGCGTACAAAGAGCGCCTAAGACTGACGGAGTGCTTCTTCTCGTGTCTACAGGCTACCAGGTGGACAAGGGCACCATGGTGTTCATCAACAACCACGAGCTCAACACGGGCGAGGCCTACTGGGACGAGCCCGCCGCCTTCCGGCCGGAGCGCTTCCTGCAGACGGCCAAGGACGGCAGCACTGTGGTCGTCAAGCCCGCGCACTTCATCCCCTTCAGCACGGGCAAGCGGACCTGCATCGGCTACCGCCTGGTGCAGTCGTGCTCCTTCGTGCTGCTCGCCTCCCTGCTCCAGAACTACAACGTCACCGTAGACCCCGAGCACCCCGTCGTCACCTACACGGCCACAGTGGCGCTGCCCCCAGACACCTTCCCGCTGGCCTTCGTACCTCGGGACGCCGCCAGCACCGTGCCGGCCCCCGCCTAAGGTTTCTGACAGTGTCGCCCGCGTTCCTCCGACGACGGCGTCCTACATTGCAAATTGCTGTCGCACCTCGGCACAACGGAGCCGCCCTGCCCCGCCTCACCGTCGGAGTCCTCGTCTGGGGCCTCCAGGTAAACGCAGCCCCGCCGCCCCGCCCTTCCTCGCCGGCCGCCGGCCCCAGGGCTGGCCGACGGCCGGCCTTCAAGCTCCCCTGCCCCACAACCCGTCAACCTGGTCCAATGCGACGCTTGACATGCCGGGGATAAAGGCCAGGAGACCGGGGCGGGGCGGCGGGGCGGCAGGGGGCTCAGGGGTACAGTCTCCTCCGAAAGGGGAGGGGGCCCCGGACCACGCAGGCGTCCCCTTCGCTCGCTTCGCTGCTTCTCAGAACGGACGTCGGAGGGGTTATTGTTAGATGAATGCTTGGAACCGTTAGTACAATCGTCGGACCCCGAAAGGTGGCCAAGAAGAGTATTACTATATTATCAGCACAAGTTTTCATATCGTTGTTTGTCATAATCGCTTATTATTATTATTTCTCATACTTTTCGCTTTCACGCCCGGGCGGATCAGTTCTTTTTACGCTCATGTAAAACGGATTCGATGTCGATCGTGGGACCGGCCCGACCGGGCTCTAACATGTTGTTCACGTTCCACTCCATCATATGCATCACTGTATTGTTATCCCTATGTTGTTATCGTTATATAGACATTGTCCCAGTGTTAGATTAGTACATAAGACTGAAATCGTACAGTATCGTTATGTATCGTTATGTATCCGACTTTTCATTGTTTTGCTTTTTCGTGATATCAGTGCACCATGTTATTTATTCTATTTAAATGTCTGTCAAGAGATCAAATCTTGGGTGCTGAAGTAATGTGCATATTGTTTCTGATAATTTAAATTTTCAGATATTTATAAATTATATAGCTATTTATATGTAGAGGAAGAAGCAAAGTGGCATTGGTTGTGCGGTGCGCACTAACCCGGTGTCCATTTAGTCAATCATGTAAAATGTATGTTTGTGTGTGTGAATGTATTTGTATGTGCGTGTGTGTGTGTGCGCCTGAGTGAACGCTTTCTTATGTGTTGTGTAAATATTTGTAAAACGTGGTATAAAATTGATAGCTTTCATGCAAATTGGCCTGTCCAAGATGCAAAATTTTCCAAATGATCTTTATTTTAGGCGATAGTTTCGGCATGTTGTAGTGAAACACCAATATTTTTTTTATTGAAATGAAGCGTACTTTGTCCTTGTACCTCGTGCCTCGTTAACTAATTAACCCCGTCTCTCGTACTTCGGCCCCCGGGCTGGGCATCTTGGAAGGACTGCTCGGGCAGCCTGCTCTCTCTCTCTTTCTTTCTCTTTCTCTCAATCCGGCGTTCTGTGAATTAATCAAGCCCCCACTTCTACTTTCTGCGTGTGCGGAGGCTGGATCATGTCTAAATAAACACCATATTGTTGCCTATATACATCTGCAGTCTTCTTCTTCCGCCACAAAGCTGGGCGCCCAGGCGCGCCACACACCTTACACACCGCCCGACCGCTTCTCCAGCTCCAAAAGCACGCACAGCTCCATAAGCGCGTCTGCTGACATAATACTACACACATCGAGACGACGACAAAATAGTGTGTCCCTCCACGAGATCTCTCTCACGTGATATGACTGCACCACCGCGGCGGTGAGGCGCGAAGAGCGCGAGGTCACCCGTATGGTCACACACGTGGTCACAAAGTGGTCGCGCGCGCGGTGTGCCGGTCACACGCCCGGGCCGAAAGTAATGCACCCCTTTCTCCGGCCGCCAGAGCGCGACAGATGATCTGACACATGAGCCGCCAAGGAGAAGCGCAACGCGACCGCACGGCACGGCGATGGGTCGCAAGACCGGACCGGACCGGACCGGACCAGGCGGGGCGGGGCGGGGCGGGACCGGGATGCTGGGCTGGGATGGGCTGGGCTGGGTTTTACACTGCCGGGCCGTCGTCGAGCAGCGAGCGATGGCTTCCGCGAACCGCTTCGCTCTAGGCCCAAATAATCCGCCACAATGCGTATTTTTCCTTTAGCGCGCCCCGCGCCGCCCGGTTGGCGTAACTTTTTGGCACGCCATGTGAGTGAGTTAGTTTGATCGCGTTACAAGAGTGCGCGCGCAGTCACGCGGCCGAAGGGCCGCGTTTGCAGGAATAAGTAAATAAATGTTGCCAAAATGGTCATTTTGCCTGCAATGGTCATTTTGCCTGCTCTGGCTAATTGGAGCCTAAATGGCCCGCTCAAGCGAATACGGAACCCGCCCAACCCCTACATGTTGCATAACTCTTGGAAAAAGTACGGTGACTGTGCCAGCAATCGTGTGGCTGCTTTGCCACGCGCACTTTTGCAGTGACATACTGTACCGCTTGCAGGCGTGCAGGCGGGTTGCCTACCCGGATGGGGGCCGTAAGGCGCTGTGGTCAGCGACGATAGGCAAACCCGCCCGCCCGCATCGCGGCACACTAATTAACTGCAAAAGTGCTTGGAGCTAATCAGCCAACTGGTACGTAGAACGTATCGAGCGCCTCTGCCAGCCTTCAAGGACCAGCAGACACTCCTTTTAGTCCGCCTGGCGCACGACCGACTTGTCGTCTTCGGCGAACGTACGCCGCCGGCACTAGCCGCGACAAACGGTGAGGTGTTTCGCCTCGCGACGGTATACGGCGAACACCCCCCCCCCCCTCTCAAACACGTGTACTCGGCATTGTGTCAGTCGGAGTGTCGCGCCACCCCAGAGTACAGCGGCCTGCTCGGGGGAGGGAGGGAGGGGGCGCTAGAGCGACAAACGATGCCGATTGAATGACACGGACCGCCGTGCCGCGACGCGCCGTGCCGCGAGCCGTGCCTCGCCGTGGCCTCGGCTCAGACACGCCGCGCCCGGGCGGTATTGGCATCGCGACGGACGGAACTGGAGATGTCCGCCGCACTCGACTGCAGCGCGGGGCGGGGCGCGGGGCGGGGCTGCTGCAGGTGGAGACGCCGTCGTGGTGGTGAGAGCGGGGAGGGCGGGCGGTGGTCCCACGGTCGCACCGACAGACGCTGAGGCTTGCACTTGGGGCCCCCGCGAGCCGCGCGCGTTGGGACGGCCAACGTTTTGCCGTCGCGCTGCTGCTGCTGCTGCTGTACCGTACCGTTGCCATGGACGGGGCGTGGCGGGGCGTGGCGGGGCGTGGCGGGGCGTGGCGGGGCG